GATTCAGGATATTGAGAAAGCAGGGAAATTTATGTCTCAACAAGGTGATATCTTGACTGATATGGATCCAGCTCCTCTGAAGAATCTGCCATCTCAGGTTGAGAATGATGGTCAGGATGACCACCAGTGTACATGTGATGTGGATGTTCCCTTACAGGTTCAGGGAGATATTGAGATTGATGAGCAGTTGACAGCGCCAGAGATTCCACCAGTGATTCCATCCAGGAAGTCTGCCAGAGACCGACATTCTTCCACTCGGTATTCAGCAGAGCAGTATGTGTTATTGACTGACGGGGAAGAGCCCCAGTGTTTTGCAGAAGCCATAGAAGATGAACAAAAGACAGAATGGGTTGAGGCCATGCAAGATGAGATGCAGTCATTGCATGATAACCACACCTTTGAGTTAGTGAAGCTACCTAAAGGAAAAAGAGCTTTGGAAAACAAGTGGATTTACAGGAAAAAGCAAAATGAGTTATCTTTACGGCCACGGTACAAAGCTAGATTGGTTGTCAAAGGGTTCGGTCAGAGAAAAGGTATTAACTTTGATGAGATCTTCTCTCCAGTCGTAAAGATGTCATCGATCCGTATAGCACTCGGCCTAGCAACTAGTCTTGACTTGGAAGTTGAGCAGATGGATGTGAAAACTGCCTTCCTTCATGGTGATTTGGAAGAAGAGATTTATATGAAGCAGCCAGAGGGTTTCAAAGTGAAAGGGAAAGAGGATTATGTGTGCAAGCTGAAGAAAAGCCTATATGGTTTGAAACAAGCACCGAGACAGTGGTATAAGAAGTTTGAATCTGTTATGGGGGAGCAAGGCTACAAGAAGACAACTTCTGATCACTGTGTATTTGTCCAAAAATTCTCTGATGATGATTTTATTATTCTACTGCATTATATGGATGACATGTTGATTGTTGGCAGGAATGCTTCAAGGATTGAACAGTTGAAGAAGCAATTGAGTAAGTCATTTGCTATGAAGGATTTGGGGCCAGCAAAGAAAATTCTTGGCATAAGAATCAGTCGTGACAAGAGTGCCAAGAAGTTATATTTGTCACAAGAGGAGTACATTGAAAAAGTGCTTCAGAGGTTCAATTTGGACAACACTAAAGTGGTTAGCTTTCCCCTTGCTACCCACTTCAGATTGAGTACAAAGCAATGTCCTTCTACAGATAAGGAAAAGAAAGACATGGAAAGAGTTCCTTACGCCTCAGCAGTAGGAAGTTTGATATATGCAATGATTTGCACAAGACCAGATATAGCCCATGCAGTTGGTGTAGTTAGCCGATTCTTGTCAAATCCGGGAAGAGAGCATTGGAATGCAGTGAAGGGGATCATGAGATATCTTCGAGGCACTTCCAGTTTAAGACTTGGTTTAGGAAACGGACAACCATTGTTAGTTGGCTACACAGATGCAGATATGGCAGGGGATGTAGATACTCGTAGGTCTACTTCGAGTTATTTGATCACTTTTGCAGGTGGGGCTGTAGGTTGGCAATCGAGACTTCAGAAGTGTATTGCTCTTTCTATGACAGAGGCAGAGTTTATTGCAGCAACGGAAGCGACTAAAGAGTTCCTATAAGCAAAGAAGTTCTTGAGAGAACTTGGTTTCAAGCAGCAGAGGTATGTGTTGTTTTGTGATAGCCAGAGTGCTATTCATCTTGCTAAGAATTCCAGTTTCTATGCAAGATCTAAGCACATTGATGTACGATACCATTGGATCAGAGATGCATTGAACAATAAGTTACTTGAACTTGAGAAGGTTCACACTGATGATAATGGCTCTGATATGTTGACAAAGACATTACCAAGGGAGAAGTTTGAAGTTTGTTATTCGATCGCCGGGATGGCGATTCCCTTCACATAGTCGGAAAGGGGGAGATTTGTTGGGTTTATTTCCTTCTATATGGAGGAAAGCCCAAGTGGGTTTTATTAAAAGCTCAAAGCCCAGCCTTTAGGGAAAAGAAAACCCTAAGGAAGTTAGTATAAAAAGAGAGAGAGGTTAGCCGCAAGTGAAAAAAACAAAGAGAAGAAAAACACAGGTTTTTCCATTCTGCCCAGGTCTGATCAAATGTCCGATTCCGCTTCGTCTGTGGTCAGATCAAGCTGAAAATTGGAGGAGAGGTTCACGACTCAGTGACGCACAATCTGAACGATGGAGATCAGATTTTGAGCTCAGGAACAGTGATTCGTACCCGTGAACAATAACCTGGTTTTGGTAGAAAAATGCAGGTTTTTCTATTCTGCCCAGATTTCATCAAATATCCGATCCCGCTTTGTCCGTGGTCCGATCGAGCTGAAATTTAGAGGAGAGGTTCACGACTCAATGAGTTAAAATATGAACGGTGAAGATTGGATTTTGCACTCGGGAACAGTGATTCGTGCCCGTAAACAGTAACCGGGTTTTGGTATTTTTCTCTCCAATTCTCTTTCTTTTTGCCAAGATTGTTGTTATCTTGATGAGACGTTTTGTAGCCTCTAATTGCGATTAGAGAAGACTTTGTGTACCCATTATTTGGTTGATAGTGGAGATTTTAACTCGACTAGGTCTCGTGGTTTTTCTTCCTCACACTGGGAAAGTTTTCCACGTAAAAAATTGCTTGTGTTCTTGTGGCTTGGTGTGATTGATTTGTTCTCTATTATTTTCAGCACATATAAAAGTAGAGATATATTATATTTGCTTGCATATAGGGAGAAAAATTATTCCGCTGCAGAAAACTACTGAAATAATTACATCAGAGGATTTGCGTTCGTAATTTCGGGCGTGAGGAAGTTGTTGTTTGGAGCACGAGTCCGAATCCAAATTGTTAGTTGGAATATATGATTCGGAATTGGAGTCGGAAGGAGCGAAGGTGACAAAATTGATAAAGCGGATATCTTCAAAACCAAATTTGACAAGACTTATATATGATTATTAACTGATGATGTTCTATTCAATGAATGCCTTGTACAAAAGCTAAAAATATATATTGAGAAAAAAAAAAATTAAAAAAGAAAAAATCAACGAAACAAAACAAAACTAAAATTTGAATTCATACCTTCAATCCAAGAGGGTGCTCAATTTATATGCATTTTTCCATTACGAACCATGAGTAGTTTACCAAAAATGGGTGCTCAATTTATATGCATTTTTCCATTACGGACCACGAGTAGTTTACCAAAAATACATACATATATATATATATATATATAGAGAGAGAGAGAGAGAGAGAGAGAGGTTAAGTGTAAAAAATGACAAATCATAATTTTGGTGATAAAATTACTAAATTAACCTTACTTTAACATTAGTAAAAAAAAGGGGGCAAAATATCAAAATTACCTTTAAAGTCAAAACATAACATAACAGTATAAGGATTATAAATCAGTGTCCCAATATTTAAAACAAATTTGGAATGTGGGTGTCTAATTACCTTTTACCAAATTCAACCATTGTCCTTCCAATACATTCAAGAATATCTATATATAAATCTATAGTTGCTAAAAAAAAAATTTAGACATACGCCACTAACTATACGTCAATCTCACTTATCAATTATAATTTTTTTTTTTTTAACTGTATTTTATCCTACTTATTAATGATTTTTGAGAAATTGTGCTTGAAAAGTTAATGGTAAACGGACTTGGAAAAAAAAAGAGAAAAAAAAAGTTAATAGTAAACTCAAAAAGTTTGGCTTGCACATTATATGATAAAAATAGACATTAATAAAATAAAATAAAATAAACAATTTTTTTTTAAAAAAAATGTGTTGCTTGAGTATGTGTTCAGCCGAAGAGTAACTAGATCAAAATTTTAATTTTGATAGAAATCTGAAGTTCATCTGATAACAATTTGCATCAAAGCAAATCCATTTATTTAATAATAATAATAATATTATTATAGATATAGATAAATATATAATTAAGGGGGGCTCATTCATTTACAATAAAATATAGTGCATCTATCATTCGGAGAGGAGATAATATTGGCATAGAAAAAATTTTAGGAGAAAAAGAAAATAAAAATAGAGATAATATCGGCGGCCACAAAAAATATTTTAGAGAGAATATATTTTTAGAGAGACAGACTATGACAATACATAGAATTTTCCTTGGACAGGTCTTGAAACACATTCAAACAAAACCATTTAATATTCAAATATATACAAAATTAGTAGGGACAATCTTGTCAAACAAAAATAGCACTTTTAAATTTTTTTTAAAAAAGTAATATTACTAGCTGCTCTTTTTCAACTAATCCATTCAATGATGGACAAATTGCTCAAAAGATGAACAATACAATTAGTTGTATTCAATTTTTTTTTTTTTTTTTTTTTTTCTTTTCTAATAGGGGTGTTTCTTGCATATTTTTTATATAATAAGGGAATTTTCTGTACTTAACCCTATAGATATATAGCCATCATATCTAAGGAACCGTATAATGTGATTGAATTTCTTGCTCATTAGTAAACAAGAAATCATTTTCGATACATATAAGGTAATGATCGAGCAAGAATTTCATCGACAGAGTCCGTAGATGTATAAAGATAGACATTGGATTTAGTAACAAAGAAAAAAATAATAAATAAAGGGAAAAAAAAATTAAATTGTACAGGAAAAGAAAGACATCCAAACATATATAATCATTTCATTCGATGATGATAAGGTACAAACAAATAATTAGCCGATTATTCATGCTGGATGCACCTAATATGATAAATTTACATTGGGACGTTCCACATTTAAGTTTTATGGAACGAGAATTATTACTTTCAAAATGGATACAGAACTGATGCTAATTGCTAATAATGAAATAAAGACAACCTCGTTGTTTGTGGATACCAGTAATAAAAATTGGAGAAAACATTCCTAAAGTTTTGGAAACCCAACCGACTTTTCAAGAAACTTTGAGGAGACCACTTTTTGTCACTGCATTTTTAAAATATTACATACTTGAAAGTGATCATGATTGTCAGGATCCAACTCTTAAAAACGTTTGTACTATTGGCCCAATTCTTGCAATCCTCGTCATGGTCAAGAGCGTCACATTCCAGTTTTCCAAATAATTAAGAAGGCATTTTGTAGGGCTAAAATCTTTTTTGCAATATGATTTCCAGCACGATACATACCAGTCCACTGACAGCAAATACCATGGTGCCCCTAAAACCTGGAAGAACAAAATTGAATCATCAATTCCAACACAATTACGCAACTCTTGAGAGAGAGGGAAAAAAAAAAAAATTGAGAAAAGGAATATTAAAGTGATAAAAATGAGCACAAATGGCATAACACTGGTAGAAGTTTTCAACTAAATTGGTTAAAAGCATAAAGTGACAAATAAATAACATAAATTGATTTAATTTAAAGTTACATAGTAAGCAAACATGTACAATATCAGATTATATGCATCCCTTGCTAAAAACTGGTTTTGTGACGACACCAGTTGCTTTAATAAGTAGTGAACTTAATAGGAAAATCAAATATAGTGCGGGCACAAACTGGAGTAGAACAATCAGTGAAAGGGCATTGTTATTGTGATCAGCTCATAAGCTACTCGCTGCTAGCATAATGAACCAGATAACAATCTGCAGAAAATATATTCAGCTAACAATTCTTTTCTCCTAGATAACTTTATACGGAGTAATTTACTAGAATAAAGGTAAAGAAAATTGTATTAGTAAAAATAGGCTTATAGGAGCAGAAATAAGTGTGATTGTCATGATGGAGTCTAGAATATATAGAAAACACAAACTTACAAGGATTACTTTAATACTGATGAAATAGAGAAATTTAAATTTCCCCTTATTATTTATTTTTGTTTCTAATGCCGGGTGAGCAACACAAGATCACAGTAATTACTTTCTCATTTCAGGAATTTAAAATACTATAAGAAAAGTAAAAGTACCAGACTTCAAATTCCTCATCAGACGATTCATTCGGGATGATCTCATATCGCGGAATATTCAATCGATCATGCCTGACTTCTGTTTCAAAACCTCTATCGCCTATGGGAAAACTCTGTCCCACGGTCAGATGCGAAGCTATATACGCAACTCTATTAGCTACCGTGTTTCCTTGAAAATATTGAAATGATATTTCATATTTATCAAATTCTAACGAACCAAAAATTTTGCTGCATCACAATAGTTTTATATCAATATAATTGGAAACTTGAATATAAATTTTAAGAATAAACTCGAACTTTATACAAAAAACTTACTGATAAAGTCCAAGACATTCAATTGGTATATCGTTCTCACGATTTAGCACCTTGACAATTTTTTTATGGTTAATCTCCAATAATATATCCTTTGCTTCCAATCTCCTTTTAAGAATTTCATCTATCCCATGAAGCACTCCAAGTAACAATACTTCATCTCTAGATGTTGCATCAGGAAATGGCTTATAGAAAATTTCCAAAATCCTTCCCCTACAATCTCTTAATACTTCTCCACAACAAGCTTCCTTGGTCCCACCAAGATTTTTCTTAAAAAACACAGAAACATTTAACTTCTACTGTCCATCGAATGGTGCTCTCCAAGAACAGAGTACTGAGTATTTTAATAGTGTCATTGGAGAACTCTCCAAAACATAAATTTGCTGCTTAAACAGGTAATTATAAATCCTTTTTTTGTAATTTTTAGGAATCCAGAGTACCAACCACATGAAGTCATTTATCGAGATATATCTGGTCTTGGAAACCCCAGCCACATGCCAATCAGTGTTGCCCTTTTTGAACAACCCATAATTTTCTAATATAATGTTGTGCTTCTGTTCGAAAAAAAGTTGTTGGGGTCCACAAAAAAGCTGTTGTTTAAAGATCAAACAATATAATTGTTAAAAAAAATCTGAATTAGATAAAAAATAAAATTAAAAATTAAAAATTAAAGTTATGTATATATTGAACTTACGACTAAATTGGGGATGCAATTGTGGATGCTTTTAAAATTTCCTTTGTTGATAAAAGATACAGAACTTGCAATAAAATTGTCAATGTTTGGAAAATTTCCTTCCTTGATGTAAATGGCACGCACCATACGATGAAGGATTCCTAAGGAGGCAAAATATAAAAACAGCATTAAAGGCAAAAATATAGTAACAAATAACAACGAAAAGATAAACATTTTAATCACATGAAGCCAGAATCTTTCTTGATTGTTTTTAAGAATCAGGTACAAAAATAGAAATGACAATCCTGGAAGTAAATTCACGAATTAGACGTGTACGTACGATGCTTTGGGAAATGCTCCCGCTTGAAATTGAAGTTTGAAAGATACGGTTTTCACTATTAACCCAAATGAAACGATTTTATATGTTTAGCCCTTTAATTCATTTATTTATTTATCTATTTTATGTTTCCTGATAACCCAATTATTTTTATTTACATTTCAATTTTAATTCTATATTTTTCTCAAGCACTATTTCTCAAACAGCTGCATTATTAGCAACCAGTGGTCTGAACAAAAAAAAAAAGTTAAGACTACATTACTTCAACTGATGTTGAACAATGTAGACTTGTTAAATTTCCCTCCTCATCTTCAAAGGGTTCACATCAAATACACCATGCCAGAAATAATTAAGAAAATAAATAGGAGTGAGGTAAATAAAAAAATTGCTAAGCATATTATTTCGAATGATATTCAATTCAATGTGGTTCAGACTCGATCTTTTATTGATTTCGTGAAGAGTGTATCTGTATTTGAGTCCTAAAATTTAGGTTGTATGACTCAATCATACAAATTACCAACTTACTCAACTTTATGCACGAAGCTAACACCAGATTCTACGATGGAAGTTGAGGCATACGGTGTAAATTTGCATAAAATGGGATTTATTTTATTAATTGTAACATTTTCTTTTATTGTCTTTACAAGTATATGATATAGAAGAAAATATATAAGATGTGTATAGCTTAATTTTTTGTCCCGAATTTTCAGCTCATACGTGTTATACATGTATGTATCCGTATTCGTATTTTTCTTTTCCGTTTATTTGGCCGAATTTTGCAATGTATTAAAAAAAAAAAAAAAAAAATCGAATTATACTCATACATTCCCAAATCCTTCTTCTTCTCTTTTTCCTTAGCGTAATTTACTAACTATGATAATAATAAAATTCCCTAGACGAGGGAAGTTATAGCTAAACACAATGCAAAAATTCAGATTGAACTAGATATTCGAAACATTTCATGCTGTGAACAACATGCTCTCATTACGGGCTTTTGTCTTCATTTTTTAAAACTAGCAATGACAAGCATGGAATTGATGTTCTGGAACGATAGAAATAAAAGACTGCAATTTGACCTTTGCAACTGGGCATTAGTACTCCAAGTCCAAGGCATGGATTAGAAGTAATGAAACAAAATTCCGTTGATAGATGATGTAATGTTACTTATAAAGACTGACCATCAGCATTTCAAGATATCTTCAGCAATAGAGAGTTGCATTATATTCTTTGCGCGATAGAGAGGGCAAGGATAAGCGTCGACCTGTCTTTAGCGTGATCTTATGTTTGTGACAAGTCTGTATGAAGAGGAGAAGGTTTTTGGAGGTAGTAAGACTACCGCGCATTCTCACTTTCGGGCTATTGTCGCCAAACGGAGGGCACATCAAAGTTGATGTGGGAGTGCCGAGAGAAGGAAAGAGACTTAATAACTGTGCCTTTTTGGTTTTTTCTACACAGAAGTCGCAAGCCTCGAGAAGACAGAAGATTGGGCTATGAAGTCTTGAATGGTGATGACTGGGGTGTGTGACTTCATTGCCGGGGACCCAATACTTCTATTCAAGCTACATTCTCGCAATGAGGCAAATAAGGTTTTAAAAAAGGGAAAACCATAGTGGGGAGATGCTTTTTTAAATACAGAGTGGGATTCTCTGGCATTATGAGGAAGAGCAAGGAATGGCGAATTCTATTGTATGGTGTGCAGCTCCATCTATGGTGCCATCCACAATTCGTTGCAATTGGGGATCAGTGTGGTGATTTTAAGGGCGTAAAAGCAAATGAAAAGGTAAACATGAAAAGAATAAAATTTTAGGCCTGGACAGAGAGGAGATACCCGCTTTTGTGATGGCGGGGGACAGGAAGGTGTTTTATCAGGTGGCTGTGTTGGAAGAACCATGTCAGAATTGACTCTGACAGTAGCATCGCTCAGAGATCAACATGAGAAGTTGTTAACTCAAGAGAAGGATGGGTGGTGAGAGAAGGACGAAGCCAAGTGTGCATCGGAAGTATGCCGGAAATTGAAATATGAGAAGTAGAGGTAAAAGGGACAAGAGAGGTTGGGGACAAGGGTCTTTGCAAGCGCCTGAAGCATGTAAAAAGAAAAGGCGAACAAAAGGAGAGGGTCTTCTTAACAACCAAAAAGGGGTGGGAGGCAGCTCGGTTGCAACATGGCATATAGGGGATGGCAATGGGAGAGATGTCACGCGACATGTGCCGCTATTAATGATCCAATCATAAATGCAAGCATTCAGTCTAGGTTTTAAAATTTTGAAAACATAGACCACCACCTCAAACAAGAATGAACCTGCTATTACTGATCCAACCCGAAATAAAAATACTAGGTAGGAGTGACAATAACTGATACGACATGAAATAAGTGTGTTTACGTTTGACTAATCGTGCTTGGATTGCAATAGTGTCATCCCATACCATAGTTGTTAAGGGCACACCTAGGCTCTAAAAAAGCCCCAGGCTTGTCGAGGCTCAGCTAGAGAGCCTTGACCTAGTAAAGGCCAAGCCCCTTCAGTCAGGCTCACTGGCATGCACTTTTTAGTATGTCCCAGGCCAAAAAAAAAAGTGTCTTTTAATTTTTGGGTAAATTCCACTTACCTCTCTTGATTCCCCCTGCCGTTGGGACACCTGACAGAGATGAACAGAATATTTTAAGGTAAGTGAAATTTGTTCTCTATTTTTCAATAATTTATTCATATCATTTTTCTTTTATCAAATGACTACTAAATTAAAATGTCACTATGGGCGATTTCACCCCACTAGGGGCGATTTCAAGGCGATCGTGATTTTGTTTTTCAGTTTCAGTTTGCGATGAAATCTTTTTTAGAAATTGCAAGGATTCCAAGAATATCACTGAGAAGGGATGTGAAGTCAGCAGTTCCTCATCGAGGGCCGTCTTTGTACATCGACGAGGAGCCCGTCGGAGGGAGGAAATCAGTTCTCTCACCTTGCTTGGTCGGTCGTTTTGACAAGGAAGTTGGGGGATGTGATCGGGTGGAGGAAGGGGCGGTGTGAGCATGGAATACGTCCTGTGGAGTGGGGGTTACTCCCTTATCCGATTCGTTGCTCCTATTCAGGTTTCCTTCTCAGGCAAAAGCTCAACGTGTGTTGAAGGAAGGCCGGCGTCAATGGGGATCTGCAACCTTGTGGATCGATGTGTGGTCTTTTAGGGTTGGTTGTTGCGGCATCCTTAGAGACAAAGGTCTCAAACAGATCCGGATGTTTAGACTGCCCCTTCACCTATGGTGTCATGCTTTATTTGTTGAAGTAGGGGAGTTGTGCGGCGGATTTATGGGAGTTGTTGCAGATGAAACAAGGGACGCCGAAAGCGTTCGGATTACAGTGAGAATAGGATCGACCTGTCCGCAATTCGTGTTTATTAATGATGACACCTTCTGTTACAAGGTGGCGATCTGGGAAGAAGTCGCGCCGGAGTTGGTTCCCTCGACAGAGAGTCTTGAATGCAGTGACGGGTCTCATCTTATGACTGAGGAAGGATGGAATTCGCTTCTTAACAAAGGGAAAGAAGGGGTGCAACAGGTCCAACAATGGCTGAAAGATAGAGAACTTCAAAGGGCGGTGAAATTTGTGCGAGGAATCAAGTAGCCGAGACGCACCGGTTACGCGCGTTGCAGCTGACAAGAATAAAATTACACGTGGTGCTCGTAGAGGCTCACTTCCAGATTCGTCCCTATCCTTATCTACAAGGGTTGGTGAAGAGGTTGGGTAGGGCCGCACAAATTGGCCTAAGATTGATTTAGGTTGGAGGGGTTCAGGGCAAGCTAAAGTGTTAAGTTTTGGGTCTGGGAGGAATGGGCTCAAGTTCAAGCCTGACTTTGGGCCTAAGACAGCCCACACTAAAAGACGGGTATTTAGAGGACCCAACTCACTTTCTGTTTCCTTTCTTAACGAACCAGATCCATCTAAAAGACAAGCCCTGGTTCAAGCTCAAATCCAAAACTAAACTCTCTCCTCTTCTTCATTTCAGCGTCGGACTGAGAAAGAAAAGTGGAGACTGCCGGTTGCTTCAGCTAGTCGCCAAGGCACTCGATGGACTCGTACTGAAAAACATAAATGGGTAGCATGCTCTCCTTCTCCTTCTCCTTCTCCAGGTTTGACCTCTGTTTCTCATTCTAAGAGCTCATTTTCTACCCCTACTTGTGAGGTGATGGGAAATGGTGGCGGTGGTGTGGAGGATCGTTTGGATCATAAGAGGGTTTTTCTGAGGCCATTGTTCCACGGGCTGAAGAGTCATTGTCTTCAATGATCACGTCCAGAAGTGTTAGTTGTTCCAACGGGGTCATAGTATGTGTAGGACGGGACCTTCATTTCAAGCTGACAGATGATATAGCCGTGACTTTACTTAACGAACTTAAGCTCTTTGCTGCTCTAAAAGGCTTAAATGGTTTACCCTCCGTGACTGGGACGAATTACACCCATGATTTGATGACAAATTTTACGGATGACCATGGAACAGAGCTGAATCTGCAATTAAACTTGTATCAGAACAGTGTTGAAAGCAAAGGGGAGGAGTTTGAAGATCAGTTTTCTTCTCAACAGATCTGTCCTCTTGCCTAGGATATTGATCAATCTAACGTGGACATTATGGAGCCCTTAGCAACTGTGCACCCTGATTGCCTAGAGACGACAAACGATTTGGGTATGGACTAGGTGTTTGATAATATTGGCGAGGTCAGTGAAGCTTTGGGTGTCTCCTCGGAAGGTAATGATGACCGAACACAATCCATTCTTCATGCTATTGTGGCAGGAAATAACCATACAGAGACCTTTAAAAGCACAAAAGTTGATAAAAATAGG